GCTGGTTCTTTGAGAACATAAACAAAATTGACAAATGCTTAGCCAGACTCACTAAGAAAAAAAGAGAGAAGGCTCAAATAAATAAAATTAGAAATGAAAGAAGAGAAATTACAACGGATACCACAGAAATACAAAGGATTAAAAGAGAGTACAATGAAAAACTATTTGCCCACAAATTGGATAACCTAGAAGAAATAGATAAATTCTTAGACTCATACAACCACCCAAAACTGAATCAAGAAGAAAGAGAGAATTTGAATAGACCAATCACAAATAAAGAGATCAAAACAGTAATCAAAAACATCCCCCAAAACAAAAGTCCAGGACTAGATGGCTTCTCTGGAGAATTCTACCAAACATTCAAAGAAGATTTAATATCTATCCTTCTCAAACTATTCCAAAAAATTGAAGAAGACAGAACACTTACTAACTCATTCTATGAGGCCAACATTACCATGATACCAAAACCAGGCATGGACAGCAAAAAAAGGAAAATTACGGGCCAATATCCCTGATGAACATGGATGCAAAAATCCTCAACAAAATATTTGCAAATCAAGTACAGCAATACATTAAAAGGATCATACACCATGATCAAGCAGGATTTATACCAATGATGCAGGGATGGTTCAACATCCACAACTCAGTCAATGTGATACACCACACTAATAAAATGAGGAACAAAACTCACATGATCATCTCACTACATTCGGAGAAAGCATTTGACAAGATCCAACATCCATTTATGATAAAAACTCTCAATGAAATGGGTTTAGAAAGAAAGTTCTTCAGTATAATATAGGCCATATATGACAAACCCACAGCCAACATCATACTCAATTGGGAAAAACTGAAAGCCATTCCTCTAAGAACAGGAACAAGATAAGGGTGCCAACTCTCACCGCTGCTATTCAACATAGTATTGGAGGTTTTGGCCAGAGAAATTGGGCAAGGAAAAGAAATAAAAGGAATCCAAGTTGGAAAGAAAGAAATGAAAATCTTGCTGTTTGCAGATGACATGATTCTATATATAGAATGCCCTAAAGAATCCATGAAAAAACTGTTAGAAATAATCAACAACTACAGCAGTGTTTCAGGGTACAAAGTAAACTTACAAAAATCAGTTACATTTCTATACACTAACAACAAAGAAACAGAAAGAGAAGTCAAGAATACAATCCCATTTACAATCACAACAAAAAGAATAAAATATCTAGGAATAAACTTAACCAAAGAAGTGAAAGACTTACATATTGAAAAATGTAAGACATTATTGAAAGAAATCAAAGAAGATATAAAGAAATGGAAGGCTATTCTACGCTCATAGATTTGAAGAATAAACATAGTTAAAATGTCTATATTACCTAAAGCAATCTACAGATTCAATGCAATCCCAATCAGAATCCCAATGACATTCTCCACAGAAATAGAAAAAAGAATCCTAAAATTTATATGGAACCGAAAAACAACCTCGAATAGCCAAAGCAATCCTAAGAAAAATGAACAAAGCTCAAGGCGTCACAATCTCTGACTTTAAAATGTACCACAAAGCTATCGTAATCAAAACGGCATCGTACTGGCACAAAAACAGACACACAGATCAATGGAACAGAATTGAAAGGCCAGAAATTAAACCACCCATCTATGGTTAGTTAATCTTTGACAAAGGAGCCAAGAACATACAATGGAGAAAGGAAAGTCTCTTCAATAAATAATGTTGGGAAAACTGGACAGCCGCATGCAAAAGAATGGAAGTAGACCATTATCTTGCACCATACACAAAAATTAACTCCAAATGGATTAAAGACTTGAATGTAAGACCTGAAACCATAAAACTCCTGCAAGAAAATATAGGCAGTACACTCTTTGACCTTGGTCTTAGCCGCATCTTTTCAAATACCGTGTCTACTAAGGCAAGGGAAACAAAAGAAAAAATTAACAAACAGGACTACATCAGACTAAAAAAGCTTCTGCAAGGCAAAGGAAACCATGAACAAAATGAAAAGATAACCCACCAACTGGGAGAAAGTATTTGCAAATCATATGTCTGACAGGGGCTAATTTCTAAAGTAGATAAAGAATTCATACAACTCAACAACAACAAAAAATGAACAACCCAATAAAAAAGTGGGCAGAGTATATGAAAAGACATTTCTCCAAAGAAGATATACATACAGCCACAGGCACATGAAAACATGTTCAACATCACTAATTATTAGGAAAATGCAAATCAAAACTACAATGTGATATCATCTTACATCTGTCGGAATGGCTCTAATTACCAAGACAAAAAATAACAAATGTTGGAGAGGATGTGGAGATAAGGAAACCCTCATACATTGCTGGTGGGAATGTAAACTGGTGCAGACACTGTGGAAAACAGTATGGAGATTTCTCAAAAAATTAAAAATAGAAATACCATATCATCCAGCTATCCCACTGCTGGGTATTTATTCAAAGAACTTGAAATCAACAATCCAAAAAGATTTATGGACACATATGTTCATTGCAGCATTATTCACAATAGTCAAGACACAGAAGCAACCCAATTACCTCGATGTGGATGAATGGATAGAGAAGATGTGGTATATGTACACAATGGAATACTGCTCAGCCATAAAAAAGACAAAATTGTCCCACTTGCAGCAACATGGATGGACCTTGAGGGTATGATGTTAAGCAAAATAAGCCAGACAAAGACAAATACTGCATGATTGACTCATCGGTGGAAGATGAACAAACACGTGGATAAAGAGTATAGATTAATGGTTACCAGAGGGGAAGGGGGTTTGGGGGTGGACAAAGATGTTAATGGGGCATATATGTATGGTGACAGATAAAAAATAGACTATTGGTGGTGACTACAAGACGGTCTATACAGTAACTGATAATAACGTATACTTGAAATTAGATAATATTATAAACATTTATGATTTGAATAAAATAATTGGAAAAAAAAGGAGAGGGCTAAACTCTAAGGATGTGGATTAAATTGGCTTGTTAGAGACTGATGTGCAGGGTAGATATTGTAGATTTTAGGATAGCGACCAAGTAGATATTGGTAACATTATGAACAATGGGGTATAAGAGAGGAGACAATTTAGTTGGTGAATAGTAATTTACCTGTTATACATCCTAAGTTACTGGTACCTGTGACTTCTTTATGACTGAATATATTAACCTGCATTTAAGAGGCAAAATTGAGAAAAAACAGAGTTGGGAATCAAGTGCACATATGAGTGTGTTGAATTTAAGAGAGTAGATGAAGTCACTTTTAGATAGTCTATAAAATGATAAGAGAGAGACTTGAGAAATGCCTACTTTGATACATTTGTTTGCTTGCTCCCTCAACAAAAACCATGCAAACTTCCTGAGGAATAATGATTATTTACTCATCTTTGATTCTCCAAATACTCGCATAATGCTTGCCAAATAATAGTATATCACTTTACATTTCCATTGAATAAATGAAAGAATCATGAATTATTCAAATCATCTCATGAGGAGCCTCATGCATTTGGGGAAAAATTTACAGACCTCTTGTTTCCTCATTATTAGTCTCATCTCCAGTTACCGGAAACCTCATGTGTACTAATACCAGGGTCAAAGCTGTTTCTACCTTTTAGGTAGAACATGACTACATCTCATGATCTTCTGGAATGATTGCCTTGAGTCTTTCTTTACTTTTTGGCTCTGATATTGGGACAATCTCTATTCCCATCACATCATGTGGTGGTAAGGTTGTGATGAAGCTTTGTGTGAGGGGAGGGCGTATCACTTCTTGACTCATATTTTCTCTTTTCTCCCCAGGATGTGAATGGCATCATGAAAAGTTATGTGAGAGAGACCATAGATGGTCCTTTTTTGGTTCTTGTTTTTATATTTTATTTACTTTTTTAGTAACTTTTTTATTGCATTAACGTTAGTTTATAACTGTATAAATTTTAAGTGTGCATCATTATATTTCTATCTGTGTAGACTACATCATGTTCCCTACCCAAAGTCTAGTTACAATCCATCATCACACACCTGCCTATTCATCCCTTTTGCCCTCCTCCCTCCCCCCTTCCCCTCTGGTAACCACCAATCCAATCTCTGTCTCTATGTGATTGTTTGTTGTTGTTCTTATCTTCTATTTGCGAGCAAGATCATATGGTATTTGACTTTCTCCCTCTGACTTATTTTGCTTAGCATAATACCCTCAAGGTCCATCCATGTTGTCACAAATGGCTGGATTTCATCGTTTCTTATGGCTGAGTAGTATTCCATTGTGTATATATACCACATCTTCTTTATCCATTCATTCCTATGTTGAATAGTATTGAATGACATTGCCCAACAAAAGACACTTCATACAGTTTCATCTTCCCAGTCTATTTAGAAAAGTCACATTTGACCATATTGAATCCAGATTCTAAAAGTCAGCATCATTGTGCTTCCACTGTGATAGCCCCTTGGACTGACCACCTAAAGTAATTTCAGATTTGGATAAACATTCCCTCTCACATGACCTAATAGAACACAAACTGGCGAGATTCACTTAGCTTAGCTGGTGGATGCAGGATAAGCGAGAGCCTCTAGGTACGGCTGCTTTAGCATGGGTCCTCACTGTAGTAAAGGAGGTAGTTTATTCTCTCATGACAGCTCATTCGGAAGGAAACACGACAAGGTATCTGTGTGTGAAATTACATTGCCTAGGTAAGCCTAGCGCTCCAAAGGATGAATTACCTTGAAGAACCATGAAAGAACTTCCAGGACTACAAATGAGATAGGAATAAGAATGTAGTCACTGGCCCATCTGGCACAAGCAGAAAAGCCTTGTCGTTTCCCAGGGGCCCTATGTGGAGACCTCCCATTGGCCCATAATTTCTCTTTACTTTTCCTGCCTTTTTCCAAGAATTTAATAATCATTTTCACTTGGCTCCTCTGGATCTCTTTGTGGAGATCAGACTCCTTGTTTGCTGAGTGAATATTGACCACCTCTCTCCCTGGCCTACTGTACTCTTCTCCAGGGAATCAGTAGTTCTCCATTGGTGTCTGAAGGTGAGTTAAAGATTTTGTAGAAGCAGAGGTTGAGAAACTTCGGAGGAAAATACTGAATTTGCTTGGGTGAGTTTAATTTGTCTTCAGGAAATTGTTCTGAGGGGGGAAAAAGGCCCAGCTTGCAGGATCCCTGCTGAGAGTGCAGACTGAAGTGTAGTCTGGGGGAAGGTGGTCTTAAAAGAAGGGAGGTTTGTAGAAGTGAAAGGCTTTGTGCATTTCATGGAGGGACTCTCATTTCTGCAAGCTGGATTTACCCACATCTACTAATTCTATAATTCTGAATTGCAGTTTGCTGAGGACAGCCAGACTCCTTGCATTTTCAGAGGCAGAAAATCTCTTCCCCCCCCAAAATAGGAGCAAAGGAAGAGAGATCTTTGAATCCTAATAGTTTAATGCCTATCAGTGTAACAGTCTAATGTTTCTGTATGACTGTAGATAAATTCTCATCATTAGCCTGTCTGTGCTTAGGAGCCTTGATGGGGTGACAGCTGGAAATCTCTACAGCCTTATCTATTCACTTGTCCAGACAGAGGGAATTGCTGCAGTTCCTTAAAAATCACTAACCTTGCTCATACATCTCAGTGGGCCATATATTCACCCAGAAACCGAGTTGAGCTGAGACATAAGGAGCAAGAGGAGCACGTACGAAGAATTCCAGAAGTGGTGTCTTTTCTCACTTTAATAAACAAAATGAGTTACTTGATTGGTGTTAATGACATAAAAAGATGTCAAAAGAAATAGTATGATAACAAGATCCCTAGATCCATGAGGGAAGGAAGTTAGAATAGGGGAGACTTTGTGTTTACTCTCCCTTCCTATAGAGAGTACAGCTACACACACCTTACTCAGGCATATGAAAGACACCAGTCAAATCTCTTTTCTCATCTTGAGTACCCTCATGTGATGCAATCTTACTTTGTCAAAGTTGACGTTGGAGATTACCACCTCTATTGCATATTCTTGTCCTCCTCTCAGCCATATGTCAGCGTTAAGTTCCTGTCTTCTGAACTCATACAGTGCACCTCTGTCATGCCAGTTATCAAAGGGATTTAGAATTAATTAGTTACTTTTCTGCTTCACTTTTTAATTTGCTAGTATTTTAAGGAGTTTATATTAAATAGTATTAGATGACTGCCTGGAAATTAAAACATAGCACAATTTCACTTTTTTATTCTTCTGTTTTTTCTTTTCCATTTAGGAAAAGTGACTCTTTCTATTTGATGTTAGTAATTTGTGGCTTCATCATGCTTAAAGAAAAAGTTCTACTCCAATGACAACACAAGAAAGTTCTGTCTATATATTCACTGTTTCAACTTTTACATAATTATTGTCTTTAATGTATTTTATTCTTGTCTTTAGTTGTCATCTCTGGAACACTTTGAGTTTGTATTATCATGAGCTCATATGTCAGAAGAAAAATGTGTAAGGTACAATAACCTGACATTTATGGCAGCCAACTGTACTGGGATCTCTATCAGGCAGACCTGATAGACCTGGGAACCATTCGTGTTCACATATCTATCTCCTTCATTGCTGTGGAGCCATTGGGTCACTGCTTAGGTAGAGGTGGGGTCATCCTCCGTGTGGGAGGACTCTAGGTCCTCTGTACACTGCCCTTCTGTGTCCATTGTGGCAGCAGCTGCTTTGACACTAGTTCCTTGTAGCCACGCTATGAGAATAATTTTCTAGTCCCGTGGCAGAAAGCATGCCCTACTCCTCCCTGCACTATAGGCTCTTGATGTATCTCATCATTGGTTGGATCTTGAAAGGGATGAGAAATAATTGGAGGCCCCACCGCTACGTTTTGATCATAGCTTGAGTCATAAACAGGGGTCGACATTATCACATAATTACCACTGGTATAATGTCAACCTCTGATTATGAAATTCATGATTTTGATCTTGGCCATAGTCTCTGAAGCCAGGGGCTAACTGCATATGACCTTTGGACTATTTTCAGCATCTGTATCATTAGCTGGATTTCACTTCTGTTTCACTTTCAGACTCATTCTTTATCACGTTCCCTTCATGTCAGATGAACACGGCACAAGGAGACACTTTTAGTAGATCTAAATTTATCTTCATACAGTCTGTCTAGCTTTTCCTTCCTTTGTGTAGTGGAAGGGCAAAATGTATTGGTTGTCTCACGCTGGAGAACTTTCTTTTACTGTCACAGTTTGGCAACTGTCAGAACATTAGTATCTACTGAGATACGCCCTTTCATTGTTTATTGCGTCATAGCCCCATTTGCCTGGAGTTCCTGATAGAACTCCTGAACCTGGACTGTGGTCACATAGCCATATTGAGTCCAGGTCAGAGAATAAGCATCACAGTGCTACCCTTCTGTGATACCCCCTCTGATTGACCACCAGCAGCAGTTTGCAATCTGTATGGCCATTTCCAGCCAAGTGACCTAATGAGATATAAACTGTCAGGTTCACATAGCTTAGCCGGGAGATACAAGACAGGAGACACAGCATGCTGGCATGGCTGCCTCAGGTGAATTCTCAGTGATGGACCTTACAGTGGTACAGGAAATACTTTATCCCTGTCATCTCAGCTTTATAAGTAGCCAAACTAGTTCAATGCGTATAAAATTACTATAGATCAGATAAGCATATTGCTACAAAGAACAGATTACCTTGTGAAATACCCATGAGCACAGCTTCCAGAGGCATAAATAAGACACATTTTGATTATAAGAACCACATTTCCCTGTGAAAATTTAAGCCTGTTTTTACCAACTGACATTTAAGCTCTATACAAAGTCTTCCCAGTTCAAATGCACTTGATACCTTAGGCCACTTTTACTATCAAGGCAGCTGAACTTCCACTTTATTGTAACCCAGTAGGTTTCCCAGAAATAAAAAACAAATGCTTACTAAGAGAAGAGTAACCCAATATCATCTTTACAGGAAGAAAGACCTCAGGCCTGATGTTAACGCTTTGTTTCCACATATTCAAACTAACTCCCGGTCCTATCCTTCTACCTCATCTTCTCTCTCATTCTCATCTGCTGATCACCATTTCCTACACCATTTTGCCCCTCAAGCTACCATCATCTCTTCCCTGAGCAATTGTACCTGCATCCTAACTGATCTTTCCAGTTCCACTATGGATCCATCTAACATTTCATAGACCAAGTGAAGAGCTAAGTATGTTCCCACTCTTCACTGATGGAAAGACATTGATAATTTCTTGTTCTGGGAAAAGAGTCCCTAAATGTTACATAATTTGGGAAGTGTCATATTTTTTTGGTCACTGCAGACTCATGTGATACCAAAGGCCCAGCAGTTTTCTGCACACCAGCTACACTGGCATTTGAAATCTCATACAAGATGATATGTCTTCCAAGAACTGGTCATTTCTTCCTCTTAAGAAATGTTTTCCTCTCTCTCCTCTCATATGTCCTTCATCTTCAGTTTTCAGTTCAACTCTTATGTTTTCAGGGTGAAATTCTTGGTATCCCTCCATTTGCCCCAACAATTTCTATGTCTCTCTGGTAGTGTTCTTCACAATTGCTCTTTTGTACACATAAGGCTGAATATTCAATTTACTATTACTTTCCAGATCAATGTCAAGGTCACAGTGGTGTAAGTTTTCTGTTTACACTTATCTTTGTGTTTTTGGATATTGGTCCAGTTACTAGCATAATTAATCATTAATGATTATTTGTTGAATGATTTTGAATAATATTTTGAGACTTAAGAATAACATTTATTTTCTCTTTACTTTTCTTTTCCCAGGTATCTAACACGTGTGATCCTATCAGCATATCCGTACCATCTCCCTTTCCACATACATACACACATTTACGCCCCTTTCAGTGTGCCTGGCAAATTTCCAGGCCAAGGTGAAAGCTCACCATTTAGAAACACAAGACTCCCCACAACCTCACAGCTGGTCTGAATCTCTTCATTTCCACTTGCTCCATTGCTCTGGGTATTAATTGGGTTCATGAAGTGTCTTCTGTTTGTCTTTGAACAACTCAGTGGGGTAGGCTGAGTGACCCCAAATACATTAGGTTCATCTCACCTCTGTCTATTGAAGATAAGTGACCTTTGTATGTCACTTGTTATGTCTATTCACACGTCTGATGAAGGGTTTGCTCTTGCCATGTACACATACACCTTGTCCAATATTATATCACAATAATAAGAGAAATAATTGCAAACATACAGCAAATGATGGCAAATGTAACACTCTAAGTAGGTTAGAGCAGGTCTTTCTGATAAGAGAACATGTAAGGAGAGAGTTCACTGAAGTATAAGAGTGAGTCATACTGATATCAGGGCAGCTGAGAGAAGAGCAGGTATAACATCCCAGAGGCAAAAGTGGTTTGGCGCTTTTGGCGTGGGAAAGAACAGGCAGGATAGATGGTGGATCACACAAGGATCTTGGTAGAAAAGATGTCAGGTCATCCTTTCTTTCAGTGAAAGTAAAGAAAATTATCAGTCATTGCAGAGATAAGGATCGAATTTGTCACATGACATGAACTGGAAATAAAGTGTTTGATATTATTATGAAAAGTCCTTTTTACCAGTTCACCGCGTTTCTTTCCTTCTTTCACCACCTTTTCTATTTCGTCTTTCAATATTTTGGTCTTGGCTTGTTCTTGATTTCTACACCTTTAATATCATATTATTCCTTCATTTCTTACTCTGTGCCCTTTTAACCTTTGCTAATAATGCAGGGATCTGTGAGGAAGAAGAGCCTTAGAAATTATGAAAGTTAGGATGGGGAGCAGCTGTGATGGCTTCAGGAATCCTGGTGAACATAAAGGAGCAGGTGACCTGCCCCATTTGCCTGGAGCTCCTGAAAGAACCGCTGAGCCTAGACTGTGGCCAAAGTTTCTGCCAAACCTGCATCACTGCAGAAAACAAAGAGTCCAGGATCGAGCAAGGAGAAGAGAGTAGCTGCCCTGTCTGTTGAATCTCTTACGGGCCCAGGAACCTGCATACTAATCAGCCCACGGCCAGCGTAGTTGAGAGGCTCGGGGAG